TGTTATGTAATGTTAAGAAAAACTAAAAAAGAAAGCTTGTACTAAACAGAATTGGATTCAGCTTGCAACCACATTGGTCGTGTGCTTTATCCACTCCGCATGGAACCCCACACCGGTAGCTGTCTGGCGTTGCAAGCTTCCACAGGGCTATCGCCACTCGCTTCTCAACCTTGAGGGCTGCTCTCATCTTGGTATTCGGGCGCTTCAGGGTAGGGGAAAGCAAGTCACAAAGTTCCATGAAAGTGCCCTTACGCATGCGAAAGTTTCGCAGCTACTGGGAATCGTCCCAGACCTGCAACACGATGCGGTCCCACCAGTCTGTACTTGTTTCCCGGGCCCAGAATCGGTTTTCTACGGCTTGAACCTGCCCCAGTAACACCATGATTTGCACATTGCTGGGGCTCGTACCTTGTGTGAGGGCTGTGTCCATGCCAATTTCCTCATCACTCTCGTCGCCGCGTTGCAATCGCCTCATCGGCTGGTCCTGGTTTTGCTTTGGCATGTCCTGGCTCTGCATATACTCCAGGACAATGCGCGTGGTGTTCATAGTGCTCATAATTGCTGCAGTGATCTGAGCAGGCTCCATGATCCCAGTGCTATGGTGTCTGGTTTGAAAAAAGGCGCGAAACTGACGGAGCGAGGAAGGGGCGACTGACGACATGGCGTACAGGTACAGGGAATTAAAATCAACAAAGGTGGATGTGCATCAGGGAGAAACACAAACAACTGTCACACAGAATGGCCCCCCCAAAGATTGAACTCAAAACCTTGGGTTTAGCAGGCTGTTGATTTCATGGAGGGAGGCGGAAGCAAATGAATACATCTATTTTTTACATCTTAAGCTGGCAGCCGACGGTGCAGCATGACTGATAGCCCTCAGCATCTTCTGGGTGCTTGGCAAAAGATACTGTACTGCGATGGCTAGCCATCATCATCAAGACGGTTCAATAGGACTGCCGGCAGGACTGAGTCTCCAGGAGACAAAGCATGTCTGCCTAGGTGCCTCTGATTGAACTGGAATACGACGATGACGGATATCAATCTTAGTACACCATCTACTGCCAAAAGGCAAGGGGCTGCTGCTGTGTAGCAATGCAGCCCCATGTCTGCCAGCACCTAGATAGCTGATGACGGCTACCAGTCATACTGCACCGTCTACTGCCAAAAGGCAATTAGCTGCTGCTGTGTAGCAATGCAGTACCACCTCTGCCGGCACCCAGATGACATATGGTGACGGTGAGCTGAGCTGAGCTGAGCGGGCTCCATGCTTGCCGTGGTATGTTGTCTGCACAGGTAACCCAGGTAAAAAGGCGCAAATCGATTGTCTGCCATTGCTCTGATGGAGGGGGAGGGGCCTGACGGCATGTACCCAGAACCCCCCGCGACACTGTTTTGCATCATCAGGCATTGGGATCTCAACCCAGAATTCCAATAGGCGGCAGAGACTGCGGGAACTGTGGGATAGCTACCCACAGTGCAACGCTTCGGAAGTCAACGGTAGCCTCGGTACTGTGGACGCGGTCCGCCGGCTTCATGCACTTAGAGCATTTTATGTGGGGACACACACAATCGACTGTATAAAACCGATATCTATAAAACCGGCTTCTATAAATTCAACCTAATTTCGTAGTGTAGACATATCCTTAGCGAGGGCCCGAGTCCCCAGTGCACCATCGTCACTCACCAGATTTAAAGGGCCACATTCACTGTGTGCTCTGGCTCCTGTGCTGCTCCAGTGAAGCAAAGCAGCCATAAGCCCGGTTACTTTGCGTCCCTGGAGTGGTACAAAGCAGACGGACTGCACCAGGGAACCGGGCCCGAAAGTTTTCCTTTCCTCATAAACCTTCCGAAAGATTGTCCTTTGGGGCTGATGTTTTCCAGGCTTAGTCTCCAGCCAAAGTGTCTTTATTCATTTATTTTGAATGTTTGAAAATGTTCTGAGTGTCAGGGGCCACAAGGACAAAGGTGTGAAGACCCGAGTGGGAGAAGGGTAGAAAGGAGAGGTGAGTTAAGCCAGTTTCATTGGCAGAGCACAGGGGGAGCAAACTGTGCCATTGTAATGCAGCATGCACATAGTTCGTTCTGCATCCGTACCATATACTGCACACAACTGGTAGGAAAGACCCTACACAAAAATAAAGCTGCATTGTACTGAGGCTGGAATCACAGCCCAAATCCAGTAGGCCCGAGGGATAGGCCTTTGTATTCAGATCCAGATACTCCCAGGCTTACAGTGAACAGTGACCCTGGCAGTTCAAGTGCTGAGGAGAAACCTACACACCACTGGATGGGAGCTCAGATCCTGATCCCTTAAAGCCTCCAGTGTTTTCCTGGCCCATTCCTCAGATCACTCTTCACTCATCTACACCCCAGACAATCCTGAACTGGATATTTGTGCCTGGAATGGATGAATCCCAGACTGTTGCTCCTGCTTCCAACACCCCCACCCCAGCACGAGTGGGACCCTTCCTTACCATATTCCTCCACAGTAAAGGAGTGTTCGAGATTGGTCCCCGACTCCTTCTGCACCACCACGTTGTAGGTGCCTTGGATGGGCTCGGAGGTGAGGGGGAAGGAGAGCTGGGTGAGGCCCCCATTTAGCTCCACCTCTTGCCACTGGTACACACGGTTCCTCTGTGGGTCCTAGAGGTGAGGAGAGCACAAGGTCATTTACAGGCAGGGTGTCTACACGGCACGAGGCTGCAGAGCAGGGCAGTTGCAGTCCAATGTTCGGCAGAGATACAGGATATATACGATCATCCCCCTCTCCTATAGGTGAGGTTAGGGCACCTGGTGGCTGGCTCTGTACTTTCCCAGTAGTCTGTAAGGATTAACCAGTCAACTCCTGTGCAATCAGCGTGTGATTAAACAGCCAGATACCAGCACTGAATCTACTCCATTGTCTGCCCACCTGATCAACATGCCCACAGCCGCGTGGAGTGGGAAGGAGGATGGGAGAGAGCAAGGCTAAGAGACCAATGCACAGACGCAGGATGCGGTGAGTTTCTCTGTGCTTGGGAGCTTGAATGTTCTATTTGCAGTTTGAGAATTGGCAACTGCTCTGGCTGAGGACTGAAATACTCAAGTTACATCTGGGGCTGAGAAAACCCTCCCCATGCAGGTATGTGGAAGGCAATGGGCTATGGAAATGCTCATCTGGGCTTAAATATGTTGCTGTATTGGGCTGCTATTCAATGCACACTATGTATGGGGGGTGGGGAATGCGGGGGCAATCTGAATAAATTAGACAAGGGCCTGAGCATGGTTTTGGGCAAGTCTGAAGGCAGTTCTGGAGGCTGGATCTGAAACCTCATCTCTGTAAAAGATGAGTAGTATTAATTACTAATTGATTATTAACAGGCCAAAGCAATGGACCAAACCAGGTCTGACGTGTCCAGATTCTAAACTGGTTGTAAATTCTGCAGCTCAGGCCCAGCTCTAGTAGAAACCATCAAAGAGATTAAACTAAAAGCGATATATAGTTTGATGTGCCCTTTCCAGACCGCTCAGGAACATGTTTAACGTTCACACTCTTTCATTTTCTATCCGTTTTCTCCCCTGTATCTTGGCTACCATCAAAAGTCTATTTACTTTAGATAGCCCCAAGTAACTGACTGACTGAAGAGGATTTATTTCATTCCGACTTTATCCCTGAGCCAAGTGACAGGGGATGTGAGTGACCTCTCATGGCTGACGGGGAGAGAGCAGGCCCTGTCTCCAAGAGCCCCTACTAGATGACACTGAAGGCAGAGTGGGTGAAAGGACCTTCAGCGGAGAAGTCCCACTGCGCTGTCGCAGTTACTGAGAGTTGGCCTCACATTTAAGTCAAGTGAAAAGTGGGTAGCCAAGTGCGAGACGGATCAGAGGATGAC